GACTTATTTTATTTGTAGAGTTGTGTTGTGATATCTTCCCGTGAGTCCCTGATCTTGATCGTACACATTTGCGTGCATGATTAGTGTACGATTAAATCGGGGGCGTCACAAGTAGACAAGGAGACCATGCACCGCCAAAAAAAGGTAAAGACCGGTAGTGCATCTTTTTTCTTTTCATTTTGCCAAAACCAGTGGTGTATACTTAATGTGGTGTCCCCTGGTGTTGCTGGTATGCCAAATGCTCTAGCAGCTGGTAGTTTTCATCAAACTGTAGATGTCCACGGATGCGTTTATGACTCTTTGGTATCCCATATGTCAGGTAGTAGGTATATATGTGATTGTGTTACCAGCTCTTGCCACGGTACATTGGATTCTGATGTATGAAAGCAGAGAGCATGAAAAATCACTAAATTGTATTCCTATAAAAACTAGTGCAAGCTTGATGAACTGTAATGTGTTTATAGATTTAACTGGAGTCCCAAGAACATAACAAGTTGTATGAACTTCAAACACATGTTTGATATGCATGTACAAAAAGTACTCCGAGGGTGATTAGCAAGCCCCAAGATGTCCAGGAAGATTCAAGGAAATTCCAAAACGTTTCATAATTGTTTCAGCAAGCCTCGGCATGCCGCATGACAAGAGTAAAAGTAAGTATGTCACACGTGTATCCGATTGCCATGGAAATCAAATATAAGAGAGGAGTATATTACTACATATAGTGAGAGTGGGATATAACCACATTCGTAACGAAAGGGCCTAATTTATTGCCAAATTGAAGTGTGACTAAGGTTTGTTCTAAGCTGCGGAATAACCGCATCGTTCTGTATACTCGTAATACACTATGTATATATTTCCTTTTTCTCCAAATTTACATTTTTTTTTGCTTTTATCTTCCTTTTTACGCAATGAAACTTCGCATAGCAGATACGCAGCCACGGTGTCAAATATTCACACAGCGCATTGCTTAAAATGCTGGTTTCAGAACCACAAAGCTCCTTAATCGAGCCAACTACACTTCACAAAAAGAAAAAGGAAAGCATGGAAATAAATTTTAACCATGTCTTGGAAGCTAAGGGCCTTCTCTGATATTCAACAAAGCAGTGATCAACTTGGCTACCAGTATAAGCTACTGTTATGATAACGATGATCAGCAAGGCGTCTATGCTAATGTATCTGATTAAATACTTGCCCTTTTTCATAACACAGGTCAAAAGTCTTCTATGCTTAACTGAGTATGTTTAACATCAAGAAAAGTAGATTTCACCTACTAAAACTGTCAAGTAACATCATAGGGAAGCCAAATACAATAATGAGAAAAAACAGAGTACTTTGAAAGAGCTTTCCTTAATAATGTTCTCTTTCTACAAAAGCTTGCTTAAGCAGACTGCGGTTGGTAAAAGGAAGATCAGACAATACCTTAAGGCACTCTCTAATCAATCATCCGTTGCGAAGTCCTTTATTCAGGGAACAAGTTGTAAGAAATCATTGGCCAATTACATTGGAAAATCTGTGTTGGTTAACTTCTAAGAAACATGTGGGACCTGTTCAAGATTTGCCTTTTACTTCTACAGTAAGCATGATTGGCGTGGAGTTAAGAGTTGATTGTAGGAGGAGAATGGGGGGAAAGCGAATAGGAAACAATTATGACTCAGGATCCTCCTAACAGCAGAAGTCAAATGAGCAGGCACTCTTATGTCGCTTTAGTTTCATCCCGGGGCTTTTAGCAGTAGGGATACATGCCAAGGGGAGGAGTCCCATGTTCAACATCGACACAATGTAAAATGCTGCTAGATATGAACTTGAAAACTCCTAGCTCATATGAATTTTCTTTATGCTCATTCTGTCTGTGTTAGTTTAGCTAGGATATTAATTTGCAAAAAAAAAAGAATATATGACAGTGCTAGGTCACAAATTGGTCTCCACATTTGTGTACTTTTCTTTCTAAACCAGAAAACGGTTACCATGCACACACGTAGCATAAGCATACCTGCAAGTATATGCAAAGTCCCTGAAACTCTGACTCTCTGGCAGTAACAACCACGCTGTTGTTTTCTTCAAGAAACGGCCACTGCTATGTGCTGTGCAGAGAAACAAGGCTGCTGGGCCCAGTGACAAAACTTAGGAACAGTTGAAAGTACTTCCAGGAACCTGCTCCCGGCATCAATCAATGTAGGCCATGCAAGTACCTAACCCAGATTCATCACGCATCCTGTGCCTCCAAAGTTGGTACAATATCGCACATCTCCTTTGACCTGATCGGCATCCATGCACGTGTGTTAGCTAGGGAAATAAGCCCCAGGCTGTACAGAAGGCAACATGTCACACACGTTCTCTGGCCTTGGCCATTGGATGAACCATCGAAAAGTTTCAGTGAGGTGGGAAAAGTCACCTAATTCAGCATGATTCTACGATAAGACACAGCAATAATGTCCTAATGATCTTAGACATTACCCTTCATCTAGAAAACCTGTATTTCTTTTAAGGCACCACGCTGCTGTAGCGGCATACTTTTATCCCCAAAGGCGTGGGATACGAATCCCTGTTCCCATGATGACCAATATAAAACCCCTCCCTGCATACAGTGTTAGCGCTGATCAATACCTTCTTACCTGTAACGATACTTATGTATAACAAAAGTACCAGTATTAATTAGGAAGCAAACCTCTCGCTTTTGGTTACGCCATTTTGTGTACTTTAGCAGCTTGGTTTCACATATGATATACGATGTATTGCCATGTGTATAGAGAGGCTCCTAGAGACTAGTGGTTTGTTAGGGGTGGGCCCACCGTGATACAAAAGGTTAAATTAAGGGAGACATCGGACCGATGACTGATCTATTGTAAGATTGTACATGCCTTGGTAAGGTAATTCAAATCAGTCATTGTAACATTCCGATTCAATCACTGTAACATTCCAACTCGCGAAGGGTGAAACTAAAAAAAAGGCAGCCTGGTGCACATAGCTCCCGTTTGCGCAGGGTCCGGGGAAGGGTCCGATCACTTTGGGTCTTTTGTACGCAGCCTTTCCCTACATTTCTGCAAGAGGTTGTTTCCAGGACTCAAACCCGTGACCTCATGGTCACAAGGCAACAGCTTTACTGCTGCTCCAAGGCATGGTCACGAAGGGTGAAATTACATTATTAGTTCACAAAGCTATTGTGTATGGATATGTTTGTCTAAGACATTCTGTACTCGCACCTTTGTAGAATTTTCATAGGAATGGTTGTTCTTCAAGTGGTGATGGCACTAACGATGTTTCATCAGTGTTACAGTGTGCATTTGTATTTAACTTATCGATAAAATATTTACTGAGTTTAAACTTTTCTAAGAATCTCCATGTACACTTGTCTACCAAATCACCAAAGCTTAAAGTTTGAGTAACTAAAACACTAGAAATGAAGACCGAAACAAGACATAGGACATAGCACGCTTTGGAAGAAAATTAGATGATTTGAACCTTTGGAGTTACTTGATAGAAGAGTTATTGTTGAAGCAGTTGAACACAATGCCGGGTAGCTCACTTATTTTATATGCATCGTCTAACAACCCAGCTGCCCTGCAGCATCTCACCGTTCTCTCCCAGAAACCACCCTTCTTTCTCTTCCCTACATGCACCCCATCCTCCTACTATATAAACCACCCCATTCTGCACCTCATAACCCACAAGAAGAGAAGTAGAAACAAACAAATAACAAGTCTCTTCTATTACTTGTACAAAGTGCAGCTAAGGACACTTACATGGCGACTTCCATGAGTTGCCTGTTGGTGCTATGCCTTGTCTGTCCCCTCCTTGCTGGTGTCGTACGTGCCAACCCATGGTACGGCTTGTTCCCACAGTTCTACGACCACTCTTGCCCGAAGGCAAAGGAGATTGTGCAATCCATCGTGGCGCAGGCTGTTGCCCAGGAGACCAGGATGGCAGCATCCTTGGTCAGGCTGCATTTCCATGACTGCTTTGTCAAGGTCTCTGTTTCCTCTTTCCTATAGTATCCTTTACATGTTTCTACAATGATACTTGCTGAACATAGTTCCTGCAATGTAGTACAGAAAATTACTATTTCATTGTGAGTCTGTGACTAATAGGATAAGCTATGCATTTTATTTCTGAACTTACAGCAGTTCCAATGCTTAACTAAATGCCTAAAGTGTTACTTTTGCTATATTTGTCCTCCATATGGGGAACCTTGTCCTCAGGAACATGGAAGAATCTGTAGTTCCTAGGCTAAACTTTTAGTTTTACCAATGATAAGACAGCCTGCCTACAATGCCCATACGACCACTACTTATTGTCTTGATGACATGATCGAGTCCGTACCATGATTGCTTTTTCCCCAAAAAGATGGCGATTGCTTAATTCAAGTGCACAATAATTGGCACTCTCCATGCAATGCTCATCCTTCACAAAATCCATGTACCTGATCCAATGAAACTACTATTTCGTTGTATGTACCCAATCTATGTAGTACCAGTAACTTTTTCTGACTTTTTTTTTCTTCTGTGTATAGGGGTGCGACGCATCCGTGCTACTGGACAACAGTAGCAGCATAATCAGCGAGAAGGGGTCCAACCCCAATCTGAACTCCCTCCGCGGGTTCGAGGTCGTTGACCAGATCAAGGTCGCCCTTGAGACAGCCTGCCCCGGTACTGTCTCCTGCGCCGATATCCTCGCCCTCGCCGCCCGTGACTCTACTGTCCTTGTATGTGCACACCAAAAATAATTCTTTCCAAGATAGCATGAATTAAACAATGCGTCCAGTATTTGTGATTCTTTGGGACCCAAATTAACCTGCAGGTTGGTGGCCCTTACTGGGACGTGCCGCTCGGCCGCAGGGACTCTCTGGGCGCGAGCATCCAGGGATCAAACAATGACATCCCTGCCCCCAACAACACCCTCCCCACCATCATCACCAAGTTCAATCGCCTCGGTCTCAACGTCGTCGATGTCGTCGCCCTCTCAGGTGGCCACACCATCGGCTTGTCCCGCTGCACCAGCTTCCGGCAGAGGCTGTACAACCAGTCGGGCAACGGCCTGGCAGACAGCACACTGGATGTGTCCTACGCGGCGCAACTAAGGCAGGGGTGCCCCCGCTCCGGCGGCGACAACAATCTCTTCCCACTCGACGTCGTCAGCTCGACCAAGTTTGACAACTTCTACTTCAAGAACATCCTTGCCGGTAGGGGTCTCCTCAGCTCTGACGAGGTCCTGCTTACCAAGAGCGCGGAAACAGCAGCACTCGTGAAGGCGTACGCGAATGATGTGCATCTCTTCTTCCAGCACTTTGCACAGTCGATGGTGAACATGGGCAACATCATGCCACTGACTGGGTCACAGGGGGAGATCAGGAAGGACTGCAGGAGGCTCAACAACTATCACTGAGTTACTGAAGCTCCTGAAAGTGCTGAATTGTGTGGGAAGTTGGCGCCATATTTTGTTTGAATAAGCAAGTGTGGTTGTAATTTTCAAAATCGCTTGATCATTTGTGTTATGTAATTGCATTATGAAATGTGTGTAATAATAATTCAATATATAAGATGAGTTCACTTGTTTGCTTTAGAGCTGGTTGTTTGACATAACTTACCAAGTTCTGACTTCCAAATTTCACTCATGGTATACATCCACCTATTGTTCAACAGCTCTCAGTGGTACTCCAGCTGTGCTGACTTCAAGATTTATCATCTGTCAAAATAAAATGGATCAAAAAGAATTAGTCTTTCAAGATACTTATAAATTATTGATTCAATCTTGTTATGCCTCCAAGAAATATCTCCGACGGTTATGGAACCAGTATCACTAAATATGACTTGACCAAGTTTGCGCTGATGACCACTAGGATACACCACATCGTATTGCTGTGCCATACTAGGTTAATAAAACAAGTAAAGGACAGACCCAGTGCATAGAAGCTCCCACACAAGGTGGGGTCTGGGGAGGGATTATAGGAACCTAGTCTTACCCCTGCAAAGTGCAATGCAGAGAGGCTGGTTCGAACCCAGGACCTCTTGGCACAAGTGGGGAGGACTTCACCACTGCGCCAGGCCTGCCCCTCAGGTTAATAAAACAAGTAAACCTCCTAATTTCTAAATGAAGAAAATCAGGTACATGTGATTCTTTTCAGCACAAGTTGTTCAAAGCTAGCAGCTGTGTTATCTTTTGATGACAGCTGGAGAAATCAGGATGCCAATCAAACTGGAACAAGAGCAAGTGAGGAGAAGTGCCCAAAAAAGAGGAGTCCAGTCTCCTCCCTTGCTCATCGGAAGAGCGCAACCTGGTGCATGTAGCTCCCGCTTGCGCAGGGTCCAGGGAAGGGTCCGACCACTTTGGGTCTATAGTACGCAGCATTTCCCTACATTTCTATAAGAGGCTGTTTCCAGGACTTGAACCCATGACCTCATGGTCACAAGGCAGCAGCTTTACCACTGCGCCAAGGCTCCCCTTCTGCTCATCGGAAGAGCAAGCAAGGAATTATCACACAGTAAACTAGTCGTGCCAAGTTTCACCATAGTAATCAGAGATGCAAATCATGATTGCAAAAATAAATTCAAGGATCTGTGATGTTGATATTTCATCAAACAGATAGGTATAGGGCAACTTGCATTGCAAACCCTCAGTTCCTGCTTTCATACTACACTAATACTGTTAGAACTCATGGACGAGAGGTGTAATCAATACCGCACAGGATACTTGGTTCCAGCAGAGAGGAATTTATTTGTAGACTCTATGCTTGAAGTCACTCATTAGCTGAGAACCACCAGCTCAACATCCAGAGAAGCTGGGAGCAAACTAAGGCATTTCATAAACTGGTTGCTTCGGGGAATTAGTTTTTTGAGCTTCTTGTGTCAGGGGTTCATGATATTTCTTTACAACACCGAAAATGACACGTAGGTTTCTTGAAAATCATATTTTAATTTCTTGAAAATCATATTTTAATCATGTTTATCTGAAACCAGTAAGTTCCCAGATAGTTGTGGCTAACCTCACCCGGTTGAATTAAAAGTTTTTTGAAAGAGTAAAGACCATCTAATAAATGGCCACATAAATCTAAGTATAGAGCAAGGGTGATTGTGTTCCGCTCATATGTACAAGGTTCCATTTTCAGTTTGTACAGGGGCAAATGGAAAGGCAGACTACTAGACTAGCCGCTTTAACATGTATTAACAGAATCTATATGTGAAGCAGGAGACAAGAGAATCATTACATTGTCAAAGATTTCAAAGGAAAGATATTCGAATAGGGCTAGAAAGTGAAAATAACAAGACAATGAGGGAACAAAGAGCATATAGTTAAACTAATTACCTGCAGGTCCATTGCTCTTACAAGCTTTCTGTTTGCACCATTTTCTCTCGGGTGGTGTTTTTTTATCACCAAGCCCTGGTAGCTCTACTAGTAGTTTACTACCCTAAGTTGATCTGATTAGTCGTTTAAGTGCATTTCTTGCGCAAAGAAGTGCCACTGGTTTCCTCCTTTCTCATGCCCTCCCAGTGTACCACTGGTTTTCTTCTGTTGCCAACTGCCAGGATGGTCAATGATGTCAACAAATATTTGCTTCACCTACAAAACACAGAATGCATATTAACAAAATTCTCAAGGATGCATTATGAAGCCTCGGTTATATCTGCAAGAACATGGTGTACTTATGAGAGTAGCTTTGCTTACAGAAGATGATACAATGGGCCAGAAGAACTTCCCTAATAGATTGCACCGGTCACCAAACTTAACCAGAATTCTGAATCATTGCTTCAATTGCCTTATTGGCCTTAACCAGCTCCCCTTTTGAGCAAAGGGAAGCAATAGCAGGATAATATGTGTCAAAGTCGTCATAGAAAGACTTCCCTAGCAGATTGCCATTGTCAATATCAGTCTTATCACTTGCTGTGCATAAACTATCAGTTCTCTCTGTCATGGGTTGCATTGTGCCTTGGGAACTTCCGTGGAGGCAATTGCTAGAAACATCAAAATCGGTTGAACTTAGAACTTGTTCTGAATCTGTTCTAGGATCACAAGCATCATCAGTTCTCTGCAGCTTTTTGAGCTGACCAAGTGTATTAGAACTATTAGAATCTGAAGAGGATACAGACATGAGTCTCACTTCACTTAGGATAGTCACAACCTCATCGATCTTCCCTTCCTCACATGCAGAAGACAGAAGAGCAACAAGAGATTCTGTTTCAACCTCATATCCTACGTTGTTTATTAGCTCAACAACTTGTTTGGACTGAAACATCTCCCTCAAGATGCCCCTGGACTCTTCCATCCTTCCTTTTGCATAGAGCCCTTTGACCAAGCTCATAAATCCGACAAAATCTGGGATCATCTCCTTACAATGGTATTCATTAAAGAAGCCTAATGCAGCTTCAGTGTCACCTTTCATACAATGCCCACTAATAACTGCACCAAGTGTAAAAGCATCCGGATGTAGACAAAGCTTCTCAAAATGAGACATAAGCTCAAGCGCTTTTTCAGCTAAACCATAGTTACAGTAACCACTTATTAGCATGTTGTAAACACGGGTAGTGGGTCTGATACCTTTGTTGGACATTTTCCGAAACAATTCATATGCATCATCTAAGAAACCTTCTCTGCACAAAGCACCTATAAGTATAGTGTAAGTTATCATTGTTGGAAGAATGTCGCTTCTTTCTAAGTAATCAAAGAGCCTGAATGCTTCAGTAAAGCATCCGTGCTGGCACAAACCACCAAGAACAGAGTTGTGGATGATAATGGTTGGATGAATCCCTTCTCTTTTCATGCTTTCACACAAGTCTAATGCCTTCTCAAGATAACCACCTTTGCAAAGGCCCTCCGCTACTATAGAGTACATGGCAAGATCCACCGAAAATCCACTTTGTTCAGCTTCCTTGAGAAAATTATATGCATCCATAATTTCTCCTTCTTTCTTTAGTGCAAAGACAGCTCCTCTTAGAACACTGATAGGAATGCTGCCACTGTTCATGTTACTTGAAAACCGAATAGCTTCACCAACACCCTTCTTGCTGAGGTGACAAGACAGCATATTAATCATTCTAGGTTCATGCAGGCCATGAATCTTAATGAATTCACTTAACAATGGTTCTACGACCTGTTCATTTCCATTGCGGAGTAAGCTCTTGAGTAGCCTGTAGAATGTTTTGCTTGATACAGCAAAGGCTTGTGTTCTGAGTATCTTGTAAACATATAATGCTGCCTGGCAACAATCCCTGCTGCTTAAGAAATCAGAAGCATAATTGCAAATAGATGAAAACAAGCCCATTTCTAGTTCATCCGTCTTACGAATGAAATTTAGCACACCTTGTTCACCACCTTCTTTGAAATTTGCATGAATCAACTTCCTATAAGTACAGGAATCAGGCCTTAGTTTTTTATGAATGAGATCATGGAAGACTTGATCAGCAATGGTGACCTTTCCTCCATTACATAGTGCTCCAATCAGGCAATTGTGAACAACAGTACTGGAGAATGATGTATCTTTCTTGTACTCATCAAACAACTGAACTGCCCTGTCAAAATCCCCAAGTTTACACATCATGTCTATGAGTGTATGATAGGTGACAGTATTAGGGCTTAAGCCCATATCACGCATTCTATGAAACAAGCTGCAGGCATCCTCCACCTTGTTGATCAGAAATAATGCTTTGATAAGTACATTGCACGTGACCACGTCAAGTGCAATCCCACTACTCTCAAGCCTAGCCTTTATCGCCATAACACCGGTCGTATCCTCTTGCTTAATGTAACCGTGTAACAGCGTGCTATATGTGAAATTATCAGCAGTAACACCTTCAGACATTTCCGCAGCCTTGGTAGTTTCACCAGCTTTACACAAACCATTTATTACTGCATTGTAGGTCACTGTCCCAGCTTTTACCCCCTTGCTCTCCATCTCTCCAAGCAAAGAGATAGCCTTATCCAAATCCCCCTTTTTGCACAAACTGTCGATTAGAATTGAATATACATACTCATCCACCACTACACCTGTTTGTTCAAGTTTCCTCACTATTGAGAAGGCATCCTCTAGCCTATTCCTCTTGCAGTAACCACCAACAAGTGACGTATAAGTGATCAAATTCGGCTTAGCACCCCGTCGCTCCATCTCATCTATGAACCCCTTCACTTTATCCACACTACCTTCTCTACACATCCCATCAATAACAATAGTGAAATTAACCACATCAGCTGCAACACCCTTGTCTAACATCAGCCGATGCTCCCGGAACCCTTCCATCAACAGGCCACTGCTCATGTATCCATGAACCAAGCTGCTATAGAACATCGCATCACCCACCATACCCTTCTGTTCCATCTCCCTTATCAGCTCCGCCACGTCACCAATTCTCCCCTGCCTTCCGAGCAAATTCACAACCGCAGTCAGTGTCACCAGG